TGACAATTTCTGTTGTATTTTCTCACATTACATTCAAAAGACAGAACCAGCAAAGTAGGTAGAAGGGCGTGGCCATAGAATGAAGGGCTATTCGGTCACCTGGGGGTATTCGGCTACTGGCTGTGTTGCAGTCTAGGGTGATCCAAGATAGCCTTGGTCACATGCCCTTGGCCACAGTCTGGAAGCCAGAGGGGTAAAGTACTCAACTCTGTAAAATGCTGCTGACGTCAAGTATGACAGGGACAGAGACAGGACCACTGAATTTGTTGCTGTGGAGCTGCCTCACAACCTAGACGAGAGTAGTCTCGGGGCAGTCGGGGCCTGGAAACCCACCCGAGGAGGACCAAGGGGGAACCGGGAGGTGGAAGTGGAGAGGGTTTCTAGGTGTCTGCTTCATGGCACATGGTGGAAGGGAGCCAAGATGGGATGTGTGGCAAAGGAAACATTTTCCTTTTCGGTTTAAAGATGATAGAGATACTGGAACGTATTTTTATGCTGACAGGAGGGAGCCAGTAGAGAGGAAATTTTGATGAAGCAGGAAAGAGAATTTGGTAATTGCAAATTGAAGTTCCTGAAGCTTCACAAGGACAGGTGGGAGAACTGGTCTTTGATAGAGAAAGGGGCAACATTTCCATTGTAAAGGCAGAGTCCAGGATTGATGCAAGGTGGTGGTTCTGGCAACAGAAAGAAGAGGGCGTTCCTGACTGTGTGCTTCTGCTTTCTCAAGGAAGCCTAAGGTGAACTCGTGAAGGGGACCCTGGGGAGGGGAGTGTGGGAGGTTTGGAGAGAAAGCCAGGGAACATGGCTAGGAGACCCCTGACTAGGGACATGGTGTCAGAGTGCCAGACACTCTGTGATCTATGTCATGGCTTGCAACGAAGGACGTCCAACTTAAAAACCTTCTAATCCTTCCCTCTGACAAGAGTTTAGGTGGTGTCCATTCTTCAAAAGTGAGGAAATTTTTGCTCCGAAAGTCTCAGCAGGAGAATGAAACCCTTCATCAGCTCAAAGCCATGTCTTTTGACTTCCAGTTTGCCAAAGCGGAGGAGTACTACTATCGACGGCATCAGGCAATGACGCTGGGAGAAGCATGGAGATACACGATGGCTCCAAGGTGGGAACTTAAAATAGAGAGACAGAGACCACAAAGTGACAAAACAGGAGATACTAAAAAATGGGACTATTTAGTGTCTGAGAGGGAGCTGGACCACATAGAGAAGCACATCTACCGAGCTGAACGAGCCAGAGGCCTCCGAGACCACAAGTACCGGCTCCTCCCTCAAAGGGTTCCAAGTGAAATGGTCATCCCCAAAATACTAAGCCCAGGGAAGGAGGAGAAGACTGCAGCTGTCCAGAAAACCCATAAAACGAAGACCAAAAAGCACAGGGTGGCCTGGGCAAAGGAACAGATCAAGGGACATCAGGATCGAATGATTCGGGGGCGAGAGCTCACAGAGCAGAGAAGCGAGAGACTCCGTGCCTGGAGGGTCTCTGCTCCTGCTCCTCCTCTCCACAGGCCTGCAACACACAAGGAGGAAGAGAAAGAATTCGAACAGATCACAGCCTACCCGATTGCCCAGCCTTACCAGGAAGCGCTCATAGAAGTGACCATCCTCACGGAAAAGTCCAGAAAAGAGGAAAACGTAAAGAAGCCACTCCGACGAGAGCTCTTGAGTATGCCACCGTTTTTGAGAAGTCAACTAGAAAAAAAGGAAGTTTAAGTTATTTTATGGATGATTCTATTTCTTTCGCAGGCTGGCATCCTTTGACAACTGTCAGCGCAGTAAAATCCCATAACCCCCGAATTGTGTCTCTAAGTCTATTTGCATCAAACTTGGGGTGGGGGGAGTTAAACCAAGTGTTTGTTTCACCTCTCTGCATGATTATCCCGAAACTTAGTGACTTAAAACGACCGCTATTTTGTTGTATCTCCCAATTCCGTAAGAGGAATTCAGACAGAGCTCAGCTGGGTGATTTCTCTTCCCTGTCCTGCACTGCCAGAGCTGCTTGGGGATGATCAGGTGACAGCTGGACAAGAGGGTACAGGCCTCGTGCCCTTGGGGTGGACTAGAAAGCTGGGTTTAGCTGGTCCCAGTCCCTGTCTCCTCTCTCCATGTGGTTTCTGACCTTATTTCACTGTGACCAGGCTCCAGTGACCTGTCAGACACCACAAGATTTCTTGTGACCAAGCATCCGCAGTGCCAGAATGTCACTTCCGCCATATTCTGCTGCTCAAACAAGTCACCAAGATCAGTCCAGACTGGGGGCCAGTGGGTGGGTGGAGGGGGGGAAATAGACCCTTCCCTCAAAGAAACTTGCAGCGAGCTTTTAATCCACTACTGCAGGGCTCTGAAAAGTCCATCACACACGTCTATCCTTCTTTATCCTTTCCACTGTCTTTTATGTTAATACTACTCATAAACATGAAACAAGTATTTTTATACAAAGAAACCAACAAGTCCATAGCTCCTGGAGTGATCTCGACTGAAGAGATCTGGCTCCCTCCCTGGAAAAGTAAATACAGATCGAGGGTTTAAAAGCCTGTTGCAGGAGTGGCTGAGTGGCTCAGTTGGTTAAGCCACTGCCTTTGGCTCAGGTCATGATGCTGGAGTCCCAGGATGGAGTCCCGCATCAGGCTCCCTGCTCAGCGGGGAGTCTGCTTCTCCCTCTGACCTCTCCCCTCTCAAGCTCCCCCCCCCTCAAATAAATACATAAAATCTTTCAAAATAAATAAAAGCCTGTTGCAATTATGCTGACAACACATTGTCTTGCATTCTCCAGTGCACCTAGAATGTTATAGGATGTCAGAAGCCTAAACCCTAGCCCCGAGGGAGACCCAAGTCTCTAGGATTTAGCCCCTCAAGGAGCTTACAATCTTCTTGGAGAGAACAGAAGTCAAAGCAGCACACGCCCAGTTCTGTGCTATGAAACACTGGATGGACAATACGGACTACAGAGTAGGACAGGTTATGGGCAATGCTGGCCTGAGAATACCCACCCTGAGTAAGAAGCACTTGGGCACGGCAGTTAGGACAGGAAGGCCTGGACCCAAACTGGCCGCCGTCAGCACAGATGTAAGGCACACCTGGGCCCTGGGGTAACTCCACTGGGAAACAGGTGCAAACGTGACAAGTACAAAGAGGGTAACTGAGGTAAGAATGAGGTGCTGTTAGAACACAGAGTTCAGCAGGAAATAAAAGATTTTGGGGACGTTACGTGTGTTTGATATTTAAATGATAAACATGTATTCTTTGTTTTTTTTCCTATTCAGAAGTTTATAATTTTTTTTTTAAGTAGGCTTATGCCCAACATAGGGCTTGAACTCACCATCCCAAGATCAACCCTGAGATCAAGAGTTTGATCCAAGTGTCACGTGCTCTCCCTACTGAGCCAGCCAGGTGCGTCTCCTATTCAGAAGCTTGAAGAAAGTGGTCCCTAATCTCCCTGCCCAGAGAACTTCAGTTGATACTTTTTTTTTTTTTTTTTTGAGATTTATTTACTTGAGAGAGAGAGTGAGAGAACGCGAGCAGGGGGAGGGGCAGAGGGAGAAGCAGATTCTACTAAGGAGGGAGTGCGACTCCAGGCTCCAGCCCAGGTCCCTGGGATCATGACCTGAGCCAAAGGTAGATGCTTAACTGACTAGCCACCCAGGCACCCCAATCCTTTTTTAAAAATAATGAAAAAGGACATGGTTAGAAAACTCAAATAATTATAGAAAGGTACAAAATGCCAAGTGACACCTAGGCCACTTTGGTTTGTCAAAGGTCATCACTCTTATATTTTTCTTTTTTTTGAGGGGCAGAGAGAGAAGGAGAAGAGAATCTCAAGCAGACACCACACACAGCATGGAGCCCGACATGGGTCTCGATCTCACGACCTGCACTGAAACCAAGAGTCAGACACTCAACTGACTGAGCCACTCAGGCACCTGCTACATTTCTGACATGAGCAGAGTTTGAAGCAAGCAGAAGGCAGGCCGATGAAAGGGAAAGAGGAAGCCACCAAACACGTGTGCTTGAAAAACTGTAATGTCTAGGCCAGTGTGTGATTCCATTACTGTGAAATGTCCAGAATAGGCAACTTCTGTCAGAAGGTAGGTTATCGGTTGGGGCTAAGGGGTGAGGAGGCGGATGTGGAAGGGTGACAGAATGTTCTGGGGTATGAAAGAATGTTCTCTATCAGGCTGTGGTGGTTACAGAGCCCTGTGAGCAGACTGAGCCAACAATGAATTATTCGCTTTAAGTGGGTAAATGGCACGGAATGTGAAGTTCATCGAGATGGAAGAGAAAGCCCGAGACTTTGGGGGGGAGTTGAGCCTGGGTGGAGGCAAGGAGCCCAATCATGTAAGGCCTCCATGGGTCTGCAAGCTGAGGTCTTTCAAGCCTTGGAGGCAGTGGGGAGTCACTGAGAACTGACAAGTGGCTCTGAAGATGTGGAGGGGACACGAAGAGCAGATAGGAAGCGGGGGACACCAGACAGGAGTCTGTGGCAGAAATCTGGGCAGGGTGGAGAGAATCAAGACACCAGATGGGATATCATGACCAATTAAGTAGGGGCTATAAGGGAAAAGGGAAAAGAAATCCTAGTTTCTTTGGAGTTAATAAAGTAGTCGAAGTACCCCCGTAGGGATTAAGGGAGGACAGATTTGGGAGCTGTTTATACATAACCCAGACCCTGTGCTGCCAATAAGCCAGGGAACACAAATGCTTTTTGTGAGCATTTCAGAGTGGAGTCTTTTCAGAGTGGAGTCAAACCAATTTTGGAGAATGTTGAGGACATAGATACAGTAGGACTCGTGAAGGTAAGATGGGGAAAGGGAGCCAGGGAAAGCACCAGGCGTGAGGATGTACAGCTTTCCAGGAGTACAATTTTTTAAGATTTTATTTGAGAACGAGCGAGCAAGCAGGGGGATGGAGAGGGACAAGCAGACGACACTGAGCACAGAGCCTGATGCGGGGCTCGATCCCAGGACCCTGAGGTTGTGACCTGAACCGAAATCAAGAGTCAGACACTTAACCGACTGGGCCACCCGGGCACCCCTCCAGGAGTGGATTTTTAAGTGTCAAATGCATAGCATTTAACCCTGGGATCAAACTATTTGGGAAGGAATCCCCAATTTGGCCGAAAACAGCCTCTGGGGAATGCTGGGGAAGGAGGTGCTCCTCAGCCCAGGTTCCAGGATGGCCAGAAGGGGAGCACGCAAGTAATTCTTATTCCAGGAAGAGACAGGACAGTAACTAAAGGTCACGACAGTTGTTTTATGAGAGATAACCATGGTTGAAGGGAAAGCGCTAGGTATGGAGGGTGGCGGACACACCCGCGCACCAGGAAGGACTGGGACCCAGAGAAGGAAGATGTAGAATGCTGGAGAGTGGGAAAGGGGATGAGGGAGGGGCAAAAAAACATCAAAGCCAGGCCTGAGGGGCCAGCAAAGATGGGAAGCACGGGGGTGGGGGGTGGGGGGGGGGTGTCCACCCTGCAGGATGGTTTTCTTCTGTGGTGTGTGTGCAGACAGGACTGCCGCTGGGGACAAGTGTCCAGCCTGGCCTGGGAGACGACTGAAAGAGTTTCCTATGTCTAAATCACAGGCTGCGCCTATAAAACTGCTGATATGTGACTGTGTTTTCCTTACAAAACAATTTCATATAGTTCAACCTAAGATTTGTGGACTTGACCAGCTAATTTTACAGCTAAAGAGGCGTGAAAAGAACCATAATGCTGTACAGGCTGTAACAACCTAGCCAACAGAGTTTCAGTGGGACAGGACTGGAGAAAGGGCAGACTCTGGCATGATGGGAAAATAAAGAGTAACTACAATTATTTGTGAATATGGCAGTGAATTTCCTTTAATCAAAGACAACCATGACAAATTCATTAACTATCAAAAGCTACATTTTACTAAAAACAATCTGTCTTTTAAAAATGTTTAATCATACAATATATACAATACATGCTGCTTTCCTTTTTGGATCTCACTATCCATTTGAGTCCTAAAAAAGAGGGAAAAATAGTTGGTTAACAGTTTATAAGTGATAAAATGAATCAGAAGTTCCCATAATACATGAACTTGATATACGTTGATAGGATCTAACAACTAGTCCTTTCTCTCTGAGTAGGGGCCCATTCTACCCCCATTATATACCCTCTGTCTGTTCACTTTCCCTCCGTTATCTTGGAACAAAAGCAGCTCAGTTAATTGAGGCAAGTATTAAGAGTTTACATTAAGTATTAAACCTCAAAATTATAGAAAATCTGTGATACCAAAAAAACCCTTAATGATCTAACTCAAAAACCTCCCATTTTACAGAGAGATTTTTTTTTAAAGATTTTATTTATTTATTTTACAGACAGAGATCACAAGTAGGCAGAGAGGCAGGCAGAGAGAGAGAGGAGGAAGCAGACTCCCTGCTGAGCAGAGAGCCCGATGCGGGGCTTGATCCCAGGACCCTGGGACCATGACCTGAGCCGAAGGCAGAGGCTTTAACCCACTGAGCCACCCAGGCGCCCCTACAGAGAGATTTATAGACAAAATGAAGCTGAGTGAGATTAAGTCGAGCGTTCAGTAATTTTAAACCAAGGGGATGGAGCAAAGAGCATCCAGGTCTCCTGACTTCCACCCACAAGTAAATGCCCGATCATCACAAAGATTTCCTTCTAGCACCTTCTCCTTCATAAAAATGAAGAAGTGTTCCATAGCCTAAATCAGATTTCAGAAATGCCCATTTACTGACATTCTTCCAAGTAATTCTGTCCTAATCCTCTTTTTCTACTTCCTAGCTATAAAACAAGCACATTGAATCGGACAGTGAACACAGCTGATGGGAGGGTTCAATATTCCACTTAACCGAAGTAATCCGTAGAAGCCACGGGGCCCAGCGCTGCCTTCCTCACTGGCACACAGTTCTAAGAATAGAGCACTAGAGGGAGGTAAATCCCAGTTTCACCCGAATGCAAAAAAAAAAAAAAAGGAGGGGGTCTGGAGCACTAATTAACATTCAATACCACGGAGGAAATCTTACCTTTGCTGGTGTCAGGTGCTTAGCCTTGGCTGGCTCTGGCCTGAAGCGATCACCGGCTCTGAGATCTCAAAGGTCTTCACGATCTCCTGGCAGAGAACAAAGAACATTTGGGGACCGGTTTATAGCAAATGACGTGGGAGGCAGAACTACCCCGGGGGCAACGTGCAGAGCTTTACCTCCCAGTCCCGGTAACTCAGAGCTATGATTCCTTGATTCCTAATTTGGGTGTTTTGGTCAATTCCCTCACTTTCTTCATTAATATTAACAGGCTCTGTTTGAAAGACAAAGTTTTCAAAGGTTATCAAATTGCAAGAGGGACTCTGAACAGAAACCAATGAGAAGGAATGAACCTGTATGGAAAAGACACTTAAAGTATTACATACTTTTCAGGATTCCATGCATCACTGATGTGTTAAAGAGTTACTACGGCAGCAACTAATCCATTTGTTCCCATGAAAAAAATAACTCCCCGCAGCAGAGTTATGCGTGGCAATCATTTGAAGACCTCTGCCTATCTACCTACCAACCTCAGGGCTGAGCCCTAGTGAGTCCAAGAGAAGCTGAGAACTTGTGAACTAGCAAGCAGGGCTACGAAAGTACTCGACTCTCTACAGGGGAACCTTAGAAAAGGCTCACTGAGTCAGTGAAATTATTCAACTACGAAAGACTCTCTCAAGGAGAAGAAGGAGGTGGCATCAGGGGAAAACAGAAGGAAAGAAAGTACAACAGTAACTACGATTACAGAAATTCTCAATTAGAATTGAAGGGACTTTCTCGTTCATCTTTATGGCCACGGATATTGAGTCAAGGATACAGATGAACCCCCTGGTTTGAACAAATGACCATCTCTGCAGTACTGGTTAGCTGAGCAAGACACAGCCTTGTGAAAGTTACCTAGAATGTAAACTCGGTTCTGTTCAGAACACTGCATTTCATGAACTTGAATAACACATTTTCTCTAAAACTAATTTAACGTACTATCACTTACCTATTATCGGCAGTCGGTCTTGGTCAAGCTTTATTCTTGCAAAACCATCCTAAAACACAAACATAATTTTAGATTTAGAGTCAAAAGCCGATTTAAAAAATTAGATCCAAAACCTATAACCATTGGATTAAAAAACATCAATTAGAAAACTCCATACCCCAGAGGGCACCGGGATAGGGCAGTTGGTTAAGCCTCCGACTTGCTTTCAGCTCAGCTCATGATCTCAGGGTCATGAGACTGAACCCCACATTGGGCTCCAGACTCAGCGGGGAGACTGCTGGAGATTCTCTCCACCCCCCACTGCTCCCCACTTTTCTCTCAACAAAAAACTAAACTAAAAAGAAAAAAAGAGAACTCTGGATCCCAGACGATCAGAATGTACCATAAGAGATTACATGGATGAGACTTTACATGGGGTCCCCTCTCAGGTTCCTAAGATCTCCTAAATAAGACCGAAACAGCCTTGGCTCTTAAACAGGATTCATGCTTATTTTTGGACACTCGTCATCTTATTATGCATAACTCATTTACCACTGACAAAATACGCCTTTGTTATCATTTCTGGGAAAAAACTTTGGTCGATAAAAGATTTTTGACTGAGGTTAAAATCAAATTCATCTTCCATGAGTGGGAGTACAACCTGCTTTAAGACTAAAGAGAGTCGAAAGCAAATTTCCATAGTATATTTCTAAATAGGGGTATTCTTCTCTTTTCTTTTTTTTTTTTTTTTTGGAAACTTTACTTGGAAATAATTTCAAACTGAAAGAGCTACAAGGCTTCTGTAAAGACCTCCCATATATTTTCCCCAGCTTCACCCCCCGTTCAAGTTCTGCCATACTATTTCCCTTTCTCTACATATGTATCAGGAATTTTCATGAGAGAATAAGTGATAGATAACCTGCTCTCTTTCCTTAATACTTTGTGTATATTCCTCGACAAGAACAAGATCTTTTCTTACAAGACAACTATCAAATTTGGGAAATTCCACATTTATACCATACTGTGATCTAATCTCCATGTTCAAATTCTGTCAATTCATTCTGTAAATGATTCCTAAAATATAAAAGCAAGCATACATTTTTTTCTAAGTTTATTATGTTTAGTAATCTCTATACCCAACGTGGGGCTCAAACTCAACCCTGAGATTAAGAGTCGCACATTCCACCAACTGAGCCAGCCGGGCGCCCACAGGCATTTCAGCTGGTTTCTTCTGCCTGTGTGCCAATGCTTCGCTGCAACGGGTCTACCATACCTACCAGTCAGTACGAATACCTTTGCCAGCTCCCATCCACAGCTTTTATTATTTACCCCTCTTTTTTGAGAGAGTGAAACAGAGCAAACAAGAGAGGAGTAGAGTAGAGAGAGAATGTTACGCAGGCTCCATGCCCAGCGCAGAACCGGACACAGGGCTCGATCTCACAACCCTGAGATCATGACCTGAGCCGAAATCAAGAGATGCTTAACTGACCTAGCCACCGAGGCATCCCCATCATTTACCATTTTAAAAGCTATAAAAGAAAAAAGAGAAACAATCTTAAATCTTACCCTTATAATGAAGGAAACATGAAAGATGTTTTCCACTGTCCGGGGGAAAGAATGTGGATCAACCACAAAGTCAAAGAAGGACATAGGTGTATCAGCTACAGACAAAAGAGGAGAAAAAGATTCTTCAAAATAGGAAAGATAATTTTTGCCGATCAGTAAGACCAATATTCTCTTGTGTTAGCAGAGGAAGGAAATGGGCGCTCGACCTGTCGTGGGAGTGAAACTGATGCAGCCCTTCTGGGGAGGCAATGTGACTTATCTATTAAAAATATGTACACCCACTGATCTGACAACCCTCCTGTCCTACAGAAGTATCAGCACGTGTGCACGAAGTTGTGTACCACAATTTCCCACTGCAGCGGGTTTCCCAAGAATAAAATGCTAAAAAGAACCTAGTCGTCCACCCACTGATGGAGGATACAGCCATACGGCGGGAATCACTGAAAAGAGTAAGTGCGATCTGCACGTGTGGATACGGCCGAACGTCCATGCGGAAAACTCATGTTGCAGGAGAATGTGTATGTTATGATTAGCTTTGCAAAAAGCTAAAAAACCAACAAAAATCCCCAATTTACTTATGTGCATGGTTACATGACTGAAGGTCTGAAAGTAGACAAGCACATCGTACAGGAGGCCGCCTCTGGGGATGAAGGAACGGGTACTCAACTCTACTTTTCCCCCTTCTACGGCACCTTTTATTTTCTAACAGAAAAAAATACATCTTTTAAAAGCAAAAATTGAAAGTTACTTTGCCAGCACTCTCACACGGGATTGCTAAAGGAAAGAAGCTTCATTAAACATACATGCCAAAAAGAAAATCACAATGAATCAAACATTCCATATAACTGAAAATGCTTTTTAAAACAAAACAACTTCTCAATGCAAGAGATCCGTGTCTAACTGATAAATACAAATTGTTCTACTTTGAACTTGGTATCACACTTACGATCTTCTCGAAAATACGTCTGCAGCAATCCCAAAATTCTTTCCACTTCTTTTTCCGTTGCTTCTTGATGAGACTCTTCCATTTCATTTAACTGAAAATACAAAGTTGTTACCAAGCAGACTGACCTACTTGCCTGCGCATTCACATTTTCGGCTCCTGACATATCCAAACTCCTCTAGCTCTCTTGTTTTTTGGGGGGATTGCTAGCAGTTTTTATCCTTGTCTTAAAATTTACACTTAAGGGGCACCTGGGTGCCTCAGTGGGTTAAGCCTCTGCCTTTGGCTCAGGTCATCATCTCGGGGTGCTGGGATCGAGCCCCACATGGGGATCTCTACTCAGCGGGGAGCTTAATCTCCCCCACCCTCTACCTGCCTCTCTGCCTTCTTGTGATCTCTGTCAAATAAATAAAATCTTTAAAAAAAATGTACAGTTAAATAAAAAAAAAGATTTTCTAGTTTCAGTAACATGTTCATATTAACTTTTTAATTGAGCAATAACATTACCAAATCAACCATTTTCAGGTTGGACACAAATAGCAAAACAGACAAAGGGCAGTTAAGAACAGTGGTTCTCAACTGAGAGTGATTTTGCCTCCTGGGGACATGTGCCAGTATCTGGAGATGTTTTTGGTTGTTAACGACTGTGGGGTTGGGGGTACGGAGGCTACTGGCACCTAATGGGGAGAAGCCAAGGTTGCTACAGGGGGTCCTACAGCACACAGGACAGCCTCTCACAACAGAGAAGGACCCAGCCCCCGGTGTCGATGGTGCCGAGGTTAAGAAGCCCTGGTTTGGGAGAACTGATCCAAACTACAGACGTGGATTAAAACTAAGACAAGGGGCTAATCCAGTAAAATGTTTAAACGCTAAAATTATTTAAGTAATTATTTAAGAACCAAACCTGATTCTAGACCCCACACCTTGGGAAGATGGCCAGATTGCCTGAACATTGTATTAATGTAACCTGAGGTGTTTTTAAAAAACAAACCTGGTCAGGCATTGTCTTCTTCTCTTCTGTCGTGGGACCTTTTCTTGGACGATCGCTTCGTGGCTTTGGCACAGGGAACTCTCCTTGTATTGAACCCAACCTAATGAAAAATACGCTTTCATGTCTTTTTTTGTTTGTTTTTAAACGAACTGATTGCGCTAACCGGAAGCTGTTCCCACGGAATGGCTGAATTCAGACCTGGCTCCATTGATACTCGAACTGACATGGACCAAAACACTTGTGACTTTTTGTGACATCCTCTCTGTTCCCTTTGTGTGTCTCAAAGGACTCCTAGGATCTTTACTGAACCACAGATGCCCCCTGAACGCCTTCCTATTTTGCTCTCAACAGTAAACCAAGAAATATGCCTGTGGTCTTCCCAGCTAGCCCACTGCCTCTTTGGCAAAGCCAACTTCAGATCCGTGGGAAGGCTGAACACGTGGGGAAGGGGAACAAAAAGGGGAACAAGCCATGGGGTTCTTTCTTCCTTTGGACTCTCTAAAAAAAAAAAAAAAAAAACCCTACTGCAGACTTCAGCTATAATAATATATGTACCACGCAGAGACCAAGGCCCTGCGAGCATAGACCCGCATGGTTCCTGCCCTTGAGCAGCTCAAAGCGTGCAGTGTAGACGGACAGACCCATATCCACACACACACACACGTCCATCTCAACATAATACACTAGATCCTACAGTGCTGTGCTAGGGTGATATGCAAGTGCTCCAAGAGCATGGGGGCAGAGATCTTTCCAGATATGGGAGGGATCAGGCTGGCTCTCTGATGTTACAATAATGCCTCTGTCTGGAGAAGTTACTGGAAGCTTCCAAGTTAGGGCCTGGGAGATAGGCAAACCCTCCCAGATGGAAAAGACGGGGGAAGACTCTGCAGGCCAAAGTAAGAGCAAGTCCTAGGGCACAAAGCTGTGAGTGATTCGCTGTGCGAGATGAGGAAAGTTTAAGGCACAGCACCCCAGGCTGCATTTAGAGCCTGGGATTTAGGACAGAGCCTTGAACTCCACAGCAGAGAACAGACTTGGACCTCATCCTGTAATGTATAAGTCTGAGCTTTACGCTGTCAGGTACGCAGTGGTTCTGGGCCCCGGGATTAGCCGACGGATGCCTGGTCCCACACCTGTGCATCTCCAAAGCCTTCTCACTGAGCTACTCCCGCCCTCTGGAGCTTTGGGAGGGTCAACCGGAACAGAGAGATGCCAGGAGCTAGAGCACTTAAGGAAGAAACAACTGGGTGATTGCCCCAGAGAAAGTATCTGCTGGGGGACACAACCAGTGCCTTTGAAGGTGGCTTTACAAGAGAGAACCAGTAAGGGCTAGTCCTCGTTTCTCCAGAAGGGCTGAACTAGGAAATTAAGACAGAAGCCAAGTTGATCATGAAGATCAACTTTGCAGAAGTATAGAGCTGTATCCAAAAAAATGAGCAGGGCAGCTGGTGTGAGTGACTGAAGCGGGCTTCAAGTACAAGTAAGTCAGCGACCATCCAACGGGCAATTACAATGAATGGCACTTTACAGACATCAGTAAAATCTTGAGAGACCCTCCATAAGAGGTATCATCCGCCTATGGGATAAGATTAAAGATGACAAAACAGAGTCACACATTATGCCCCAGACCCAAAGCCTCACACACCAGAAAACAAAGGAGCCAGCAGAGCCCTGTGGTAAGAGGTTCTGGCCCACAGCCTTTCCTGCCCAAATTCAGAAGGATGAGGTTCCATCCACATCAAAATTTTATGGGCTTTTCAATCAAATTTCAGAAAAATCTCCAAAAAATGGCATCCTGATTGTCACCTTCACCCTACCAGATAGTTCTCATTCCTATAATAAAAAAGCTTAAGGTTTACAAATGGCTGGTCTGTCAGATTTTTAAAATAATCTTACAGAAAGTGGAATGTATGGGTTTTATTAAAGGTGTTTTCTGCTGTTTTGCCTGATATTTTCCAGGAGTCATAGACTATGAATTCAAAATCAGAACTATCTTCATCACGGATGAGTTCTTCAGCTTCTAGCGGATTTACACCCATATGTGTCAGCTACAAAAATGAAGGGAAACAAAAAACCCCAGTTAAGCCACAGGCAATCATTCACCACATCCAATAATCTCTATCGCTAAACTTTAAGAGGCCAGATGCAAAGAGACCACTCAGCGTTCTAACATGTTGGCTACATTTCTTATTATACAAATAATTTTATATAAATTCCAACTTTCAAAGGTAGAAATATTAGAATGAATGAATCCTTAGCCCATCAAAGTATTAGGAAAGCTGAACCAACATACAGATCTGAAATCACATCCCTAGTCAAAGGCTCCAAGACAGAACAGGGAAGTTTAGCCGGCTTTCGGGATTTTTCGTTTTTAGCCAACCTCCTAGAGACCTCTACTCAGCTTGTGTCTCGGTATATCCAGACAGCAGTGTCCTAGAGTCAGAGAATCGCTCATCTTACAACTGCCTTCCTGGGAAGAGTTGCTAGAAGTCTAATAATTCTCTTATCCCATACTATCTCACAGAAAATCAAAGTATTACATTATGAAATCATAAAATACCTACAAGTTATCAAATTAAAACAGTAATATCAAACATAAACAATAATTAAAAAGCCCTCAGGACGCTTGCCCCTATTAAAAGCAATCAAACTCTGAAGAGAGGCTTCGAGAGCCTGATCAGAGACGTAAGGTCAGCAAGCCTCCGTCCCCAACCACCAGTCCCCCCACACTACCATCCCCGTCCATTTCTGCCTGGTCAAATCTACCCATCTTTTCTTTATAGTACCTATACGTGTACTGGGAAGGGCCCTCCTGACCCAGAGATTACAGAGCTGTAATTTAGGGTTTTACACTGAATGCCTTAAGACTTCCAGAATTTACTTTGATTTGTTACGGTACACAGCTCACCTAGATAAATACTAGTAAGTTTAAAAAAGATAACCCAGCACATGGTCACTTTATTCATTCAGCTACACATGAGTGTGCATTTTCCAAACGCATTATATCTCACAATAAAAAAGTTAAAAGAGAAAATTTTTAAGTTTTAAATTTCAGTAATCTTAAACCATTTAAGGTTTTAAAAACAACAGAAAATTCATCTGCCTCCTGCCTTTACAAAAGAATTAATTTACCTGGGCCAGTCTCCTGGTACCAAGTCATTTTAATAACCATTTAATAAACATGCAGTCAGAAATGCTAGGACAGAGGTTAGCTCAGAGTGGACCCAAAAAACAGAAAACAAAAACCAAAACCAACCACAACATAGTAAAATGCAAGGTCAGCCTCATTGTCCTTTTTTGGTAAATCCACCAAGGAAAAGTGTAAACATTTTAGCTAACAACCATTCAAATAAAGGTGAATAAAACAACAAAAGATCCACAAAAAAGCAAAACCCCAAGTATATTCATAGGGTTCCAAGATATTGTCAAAGACCGATGAAATCATGCCCAACCAGGCCTAACTCCTCTCCAGCTGAGCTCTGACCACCTGCAGTGTAGGTTTTGCCCAGCCCAGGACAAAGGTCCAGGGTCACTGAGAATGAAAAAATGGCCATTTCTAAATAAAGGGAGCACCCAGAGTCTTAGAATGCTAACAGATTTTTAAACCTCTAAGCTGCCACCCTAAATTCCTCCACAGGGCTCTCCCGTCAACCTCATTGTCATCCTCATCATTTAACTTGGTGAGACCTGTTCAGAGGAATCTGAGACATACCCCCACCTCCACCCCCCGCCCCGGTCCCCCCAAAAAAGGAAAAAGGAAGTGAAATGCATTTGCATACAGATCTAAATAGAGCAGATAATTATACAATATGTGACATGGGAAGTATTTTTTATTAAGATTCTGTAGCTTTGAACTTACTAGAGTTTCAACATATCTTAACATATCAAATGAGTTCAGATCAGAACGCAGCTGCTTTGCTTTCTCTTTGCCCAAATCTGAAGCCAAAACAAGAAACTGGGCATCCAGCACGGCTTCTCTTGCTCGGGACACTATTCAGAAAAGAAGGAAAATACACATTACTATATACCCATTACTCACAGGGATTTTCCCAAAATTTCCACCTACTTACTTGACATTTCCTACCGGACAAAAGAAAAAAAAAATTTTCGAACATACCCATCTCCCTTGAAAACCTGCCTCCTCGACCCAACCCACCAAAATCCGGAGTCACAGCTGCCCAGTCCTCCTAAAAGCCACTCTCCCTCCGGGTCCTGCTCCTGTGAACTTGACAGCTCCAGTTCCACTAAGCCCCTCTCCTCTCCCACACCGGCTCTTCCCTCTGACCCCAGCAGCCCATCTCTGCCACGACTCCCACCTGTGCGGAGGTAAGTCAAAAGGGAGGCCTGCTCCGCGTAAGGCAGGGTGACTTGTTGAGGGGCAAGAGTAAATTGTCGAGGAGCCTCACTGAAGGAACAGAGCGGGCTTGGGCAGGAAGCCTAGGACCCCCGCCCCGCGAGGCAGCACAGGCCACCAGGTCAACGGTCTACAGCAAGACAGCGACTGTGAGGATGGGTGACCCGAAAACGTTTGACAGAGGAACCAGGACTCAAGATAAGCTATACAGAGAAAAAGATTTAAACAGAAGGAGATAAGGAGGGAGGGAGGCAAGGAAACTGAGGAGGAAGAGGGGAAGGGGACGGACGGGGCCTGTGGAGTTGAGAGCAGGCCTCATGGGCCCCGAGAGGGAGAAAAGTGCTGTGGGAACACCTGGAAAGGCAATCTGGGAAGGAAGCCAAGAAGAGGGGAATGGGGCAACACTCAATCCCAGAAACACCTGTGCCTGGCTCACTCCTAAAGGCCTCCTCACTTGGATCCCCCACTTCCTGAACCTGCTTCAGGCCGCTGAACTGGCTGACTCTGGGTTTTGTTTGTATACATCATTTTTCTCCCATTTTGTTTCGAGAGCGAGGCAGCGGAAGTGACCACGCTTGAGAGAGGGCAGCAGAGGCCACCGCTGGAGGCTCATTCCTGGGCTGCCCCTGGGGGCCTCGGCTACCCGCCTCCCAGCACGGATGGAGAGAAGAGCACAGACTTCTCTGTCACAGATGGCTTTGAGGCCTCCACTGAGTTAAAACCATGAATGCCAAGGATCTAGAATTCTGTTTGCTGAGCGATTCCCAAAGCCCAGTTGAGTGAATAACTTTGCCTTACAGAGTGACCCAGTCCACAGGGCAGAATCAGCCGAGGGCAAGGCGATGTGTGGCTCAAGATTAAGACCCACAGTAAAACAGCAAGGCCATGAACGAGTCCAGAGGAACCTTGAGGACACGGACTGGGAGTCCAGGAGTGAAGAGAAGACAGAGCTAAGGACAGTGGAGGAGGGACTTAACCAGGCGGAGGGGAAATGCCCCGTTCTGGAAGGATTCAAATGAGATTCAGCAAATGTAGGAGACCCACCTGGGGAATGGTGAGCACGCTGTGAGCAGAGCTAGAAAGAGACTCATTTGAGAACAGGCAGACAGAAAAACCTTAAGGGCTGTCAACAGGTGGGCCATTAGTCATACTAGGACATGACCAGACGTAAAGCTTCTGGTCCTCAAAGAGCATGAAGAATCATGTTCTAATCACCAAGTGCATCCCGGGAATACAGCAGTCAAGACCACAGACAGATAAAACAACAGTACATGCGAAGTTCTCAACCCTGATCAAGCAACAGGACCACCTGGGGTGGAGGGGGGCTTTCTGAAACAGGCCGCTGGCTGCACCCCCAGAATTTCTCATAAAGCCTTCAGGGGGCCTGGGGGGGTGCCTAAGTGCAGTAAAAGCAGTATTACCTCTACAACGAAAAAGCTTCCAGCACCAGTAAAGCACTATTCTATTACGTGGGGACTGTTTGAATAATCAAAATTATTCTAAAACTTATAATAAAAAGCTCCCATACATAAAATAACGAATTACCTCCATTAAACAGAGTGTTGGCCTCTTCAAGGACCTCTGTTAATTTGTCGCTGGCATTCAGTATATCCTCACGGTTTTCTATGTAAAAAAATACAAGGTTTGGGAAATGTGCTCCTGAAGCACGAACAAGTCCTTGACAAAGCGATCACGGATCACCGATCCGGAGTACAGCCAAGCCCGGCCCCCTGCTCCCTGGGGAGAGGGGGGCTTACTTCATATAGCTCCATCTTTTTAACCCAAGTGGCTCGGAAAGAGAAAGGTGACCGTTCCTTTAAGCAGCATGAACTTCAAAAAAGGGCCGGGCTGCCTTCAACCTTCACCCAAGGGCTCCACAGCGTCTGCAGCCTCCGAGGAGCGCTCCTAAGGGTGGTTCCCAAACTTCACAAGCCACAGAGGCCCTTTAGAGGGTCACCCGGCCGGTGGGCGGGCCACCCCGAGTTTCGGAGTGCGGAGGCCCGGGGTGCGGCCCGAGGACTGGCATTTCTGACAACTCCCCCAGGGACGGGCGGCCGCGTGCCGGACCCGCCGACAGCCCGAAAAGACGCCCAGGGCCCCCGCATCCCGCTGCCGCCGCCCCTTCCCGGCCGTCCCGGCTCCCGCGGCGCCGTCCTGCCCCTTCGGGGCCCGCGCGCCCCCGCCAAGGTCGCGCACTCGCTCCACGCAACGGCGCGGGGCGGCCTCGCGAGCCAATGGAGGCGCGGCCGGGTGGCGCGGGGTCGGCCCGGGCGCCGTTGCCCAGCCTGGAAGCGCGGGCCTGCGTCCGCCACCTGCCCCGGCGCGCGCCCCGCCTTACGTTGGACCGAGTTGATGAGCGCCCGGTACTGATGGCGGATCTGGCGGCACAGGCCGTGGTCGGTCTCCGCCTCCAGGCTCGCGGGGTCCACCATCTCGTCCCCGGAATCCGACGGCTCCGTCTCCTCCAGGCTCGGGCGCTCCGGGGCCTCCCTGCGCTCCGGCGCGGCGCCGCGGCGGGACACGGGCGACAGCGGGGACCGCGAGCGGGAGCGGGCGCGATCCCGGTGCGGGTCGCGGCCCCGGCCCCGGCCCCGGCCCTCGGACCGGCGGCCGCTGCTGTCCCCCGACATCGCGCCAATTCGCCGAGCAACTTCGGGACGGCGGAAGTTCGCGCCAGAAACTGAAACCCCTGCTCGGCGCGAGCGCCGCTCCCCGCGGAACGCGGCTCCCGGGCCCGCGCCAGCGCACAGCGACGCCTCTGGCGGGAGGCCGGCGGCGGGCGCGGCGCGGGGCGCTCCCGAGGCGCCGCGGGGCCGGGCGCGGGCCCTCCGCGCCCCGCACAGCGGCCGCACCGGGGACCCGCTGCCCGCGCCGTGCGGGAATTAGAGCCTGGCCGGGCTGGGCCCCCGAGGCCCACCGCACCGGGCCTGCGTCTTCCCGGGTGTCTTCGGCTCCCGGGACCCAGCCACGGCCGGGCGACGTCAGGGCGCGCGGAGCATGTGTGTTGGCGGAGGCCGCTGCGTTGGAGCGGGGCGCGCGCTGGGCTTGGAGACAAGAGATGTGGCTCTGGGACCTCAGTTTCCCCGAGCCCTCGCGGGGCGCCTCAGATGAGGTTCATGGGCCCCGGGCAATCCCACTCTGGATGACAGAAGAACCACAAGCAAAAATTAACGACAAAGATGGTCTTTCTCCTAGTAAACTCTGTTTACGATCCCTTCTGAATGTCTACATCCTGGCAGTTGATGTTCACAACAGGTTCTCAAACTAATATATTCTAAAAGATCCTTAACAGGGTCCAAGACAGATGGAATTATATTCAGAAGCTGCCTAAATTTCATTCTTCATATTTTGAGTTCTACTGCAGATGTTGTTTCCCAAAAGCACAAGCAAGCAAAGCCAAAAAGTGGAGACCAGGATTGTGGTAATTCACAACAGTAGGAAACGAACAGTGGTACCTGGGATGAGCAGCCATGGGAAGACCTTACTCTTTCTGGGCCTGAAGTGTCAGAGCAAAGAAGCAGTGTCACCAGAACCCGATGAAGGTTGAGGCCATGGAAAAGGGGCCACCAGACAGGAGCTGTGGTCCTAGAGACATGCAGTCATGCCAAAAGAAGAGGAAGTTCTGAGAAAAGAGGACATGAAGAGGAAGTGGGGGTAAAACACCTTGGTCTCTCTCTCTCCCGAACATGTCTTCAAACGATTTTACCTCTCATTGGCTAAGGGCAGCATGAAGTTAGAGGGCAAGAGAACCTGTGTGATACACTCCATAAATTAGTCTCTGAGCAGAGCAAGGCTAAGAAAGGTGGAGATTAATTTGATGTAAGGCTGAGGACAAATGGAAAATAACCCAAATGATGGGTGAAAGGTGTATCAGGGTCTATTTAGCTAGGTATAATAGAAACTCTACTACAAGGCCTCAGCCAAAATAGTTAGAATTTTCCTTGTGACACTGGAAGTCCAGAAGTAGACAGTCCAGGATTAGTGAGTTGGCTTAATTGTGTCAACCCAGAATGGGTGCATGTCACTGCTGCTCATAGTCCATTGGCCAGATCTGGTCACATGGCCTCAACCCCACCACAGGGGAAGATGGGAGACATATCTTCTATTTCTGTTTCCCTATCCTTTGTTCTCTACTGTCAAAGCCCCCTTTCCACCACAGAGGCCAAAAAGCAAACAAATGAACAAAACCAGATATTCACCTTCCCTCCCAGCTCCCCTTGTACCTGTGGCATGGAATATGGCGCAATCCTGACTGAAAGGACTAAGGAGAAGTCTACTGAAGGTCTTCTCAAAAACGTTTTCTCCACATTAAAAACAGACACTGAAAGGAAATGCTCCCGTGTAGTCCAAGGTTGTCCACGTGTGTTCTTCACAATGAGGCAGCCATCTTGTGGCCACATGAGGAAAAATTAACAAATGAACATTACAAGGCAGAAAGACCCCAGGTCCTTGATGACTTAGCAAAATTGCTGATCCCAAGCTGCAACAGTCCTCCCCCTGGATATCTTGTCACAAGAGGTAATAAGTGTCCTTATTGCTTAAATCACTTTTCACCGGGCGTTCTGTGATTGGCTCACAAAACAACCCAAATGATGCATTTCTTTCTTCCTTAAGCCAGTTTGGTTTAGATTTTCTATTACCAAGATATAAAGACTCCGAACGTGCAACCAGATGGATCCAGAAAGTAGGAACTGTGCCTGAAACAGGAAAGACTGATTAGCACAGTAGTCACAAACAGTAATCAGGAACAAAGCATTACAAGATGAAGGAGCAGAGACCAGTGAGGGGAGAAGAGCTGGCTGAGTAGAATCCCTCCTCCCTTCCTGGGAGATGAGCTTCTGGGTCACCCTCCTAACTAACATGATAGGACAGTGAACTAAGTTAGGACTAACCCAGAGGGGGACATCTGAAAAACAGGCCTTCATGACCACCCAGCAGAGGGGAGGGATGCAGGAGAGTTCCAGCTGGGGCTGAGGTAGAGGCAAGGAATGGCCTGGTGCATGGAGTCTCCACCACCATGTAGCTGGGCACCAGCATTCTTGCAACTCAAATGGGAAAACATGTACATTCTCGGGTGGGAAACAGTGTGTGATTGTTCTGGCGCTGGGGAAGCCAGCCAGTCACAGGGGGATCTTTCGGGTGTGATCTGATTTGATGCTAGGAATTCCGGATATGTCCAGCCACGACCCAGTTAGGTCATCTACAATGCGTTTATAGTGGCTAGTGTCGTAAAGATGTCACTTGGTGTGATTTGATATTTAGTCTATCTCTCAGGGAGATAGATCTTGGCTCTCCTCACCGGCTAGGCTCCAGGAGAAGGTTGAAGGTAGTAAAAACTTGACCCGTTAGTCCTCCCATAGTACCTGCTGTGCTAATGATTACGTGAGTCAGTGATGAAAATCTGCCCCTTTTCTGGGTGCTTCATTTGTTAATGCATGTTTATCGAGGGGTCCACTAGGTGCTAAGCCACGGGCTGGAGGCTGGACATACAGTATTGAAGACAGCCAAACAAGGGCCTACACTCGGGAAGCTGACGGCTTTTGGAGGTAGTCAGATGTCAAGCCAGTGAGACAAAGACGAATATAGAACACCTGTTGTGTTCAACGCTCAGAAGGAAAGGATTTGGAGCTAGGCAGGAATCTGACCTGGGTAGAAGAGTCAGGGCCATTGAGGGAAGTCCGGGTCATGAGATGGGAAGGAGCCCACGAGGGAAGTTGGGGGTGCAGGCGGGGAGGAGAGCAAGGGTTTGGCAACTGGGGCATCATGTGGTGTCTGGGGACTGCTTCCTTCAAGGTGGAAAATAATCACACGTGTCCGAAGAGTCTCGTGCTATGAAACGACTCAATCCTGTATACACCATATTTTGTATGGCGCTACCGGGCTCCCTGAGAATAAAGGGAATTTCTACAGGAACACAAAAGAGAGCCCAGGAGCTCGAGGTGGGAGTTCTAGACATGTGAACACTGTCCACCCAGGCCGTGGGTGCGCTCTGAGGCAGCGGGGGGGCAGAGGGCCTGAGCATCAAAAGGCCCATGACACACACTGTTCAAGCTCAAGGGCATCACGTGCCCATGAGATGCCAGGCTCTGCGAGCAAGACAGACAAGATCCCTGCTGTCGCAGGCAGGCGCCAGCTGGCAATCTTATCAGGGAGAGAGACAACAAACAAGGAATAGATAAATAATTTCAGATGGTGGCAATCTGAGGCAATTAAAAAGCATATTGTGGCAAGGAATTACCTACCAGGCAGTGAGGAGTGTGCGTGGGTTACTTGAGCTGAGGTATAGTCCGGGAAGTCTCCTCTGAAAAGCTGACATTTCAGTTAAGAAGAGGAGTCAGCCACGGGCACCAGGTATCTCAGTCGTTAAGAGTCTGCCTTTGGCTCAGGTCATGATCCCAGGATCCTGGGATCAAGCCCTGCATGGGGCTCCCTGCTCAGCAGGAAGCCTGCTTCTCGTTCTCCCTGCATGCATTCCGTCTCTCACTGTCTCTCTCTCTGTCAAATAAATTAAAAAACAAAACAAAACAGGATTCAACTATATAAATTTCATGGGATAGAACTTTCCAGATCTAGAGACTTTTCTTTTTCCCAAGACCCTCCCTTAAATCTAGAGGCTGATCCAAAAGCTTCTGAGAGGAAACAAAGCCCAGGACTGGGACATACATTCCTATTGTCAAGACCTCGGGGCCAGGTGAGCGAAGACCCCTGAGTGTGGGAAGGAAAGGGACACGTGGTTCCTAGCGCTTCCCAGTTGGAGGCAGACAAGAGAGAAAGCACCTGTTCTTCTGTGATTTGGCAGGAGAGCAGAGGGGCCGCTTGTGGTCAGATGTATAACACAAACCCAGAGAAAGGCGTCTACGCCACAAATACCACTTACCTGGGACAGGAATGGGGAGAAGAGACAGCGAGAGATTATGAAATCTGTACTGTTTCAGTGATGCGTTATTTTTATCATTTCAGATGAGATGTTTAACAAAAAATATTAATTTTTCATCTCTATTGTCAAACTATGTGCAAATTATTAATTAAACGGTGCAAATGAGTATTTTCCAGGCTCTCAAGACTTACGGGTCCAAAGGTCTAAAAGGATTGTTAGTCTCCCCACCCCACGGTCTCCTCCCTCTTTTTATGGAAAAGAGCCACAGTATATTAGTAAACAGCAACGGGCCCTTGAAACTTCTGCACCTGGAGCGGTTTCCAGTTGGCAAAACAAACAAACCAGTGTTAGCTTGGGACATTTGGGAACATGCGTAAGCCTTGAGCCTCATACGGTCTTCCAAGTCTCTCCCTCCCCTTTTCTTTCATTTCGTTAACATTAAAGAGGATTTGTGCATAAATAAAAAAGGCCTGTGAATTAAATTTTTTTCCTAATCCCACGTTAATAAGTGTTTTGATGGGATCACACCTGTTATATATTTGTCACCCCAAAACTCGACTACATGCCCTCAGTAACACTTTACACCAGTGCTTTCCAAATGTTAGTGTGCATTTGATTCACCTGGGGATGGCTGTTAAAACTGTAGATTCTGATTTAGTAGGTCTGGGAGGGAGCCTCTAATTGGCCATTTCTAATTCCCAGGTGATACCCAGGCTGCTGATCGGGGACCATACTAATACTCACACCTGCCGG